AGACTATAGGTAGGGTTTAGGGTTCTTCGTATGAGTCCTAATATCTTGGGTTTTTTGGGCCAGGGTTGCTTGATCAGGTCCCTCCATGAGGAGCCTCGGCTGTCACCCCTCAGCGGTCAGGGTCTCTAATATAGGGCTTTAATAATTATGTTTTTTTTTTTGTTTTTAAGGGCCTTTTCTTATGGGTTTAGGGTTTAGGGTTTAGGGTTTAGGGTTTAGGGTTCCGATACTATTTTGGGGGTCTCAGGGTTGGAAGTTTCTGGCCTTGGGTACTCTGGCGCACAACTACACTTGGTTTAGGACTTGAAGCGTCCTGAACCCTACAATCCTGCCGCCCAAAACACGATCGAGGATCCTCCGACCCCAACGAGACCAGAACCCGCATTCTACCACCCCTCGGCCTAAAAAGCCTCACTGCTTAGGGAGACAGTCCGTACGGTGTTGAAACCAGGCACCGCCAGCAAATCACATTACCCTGAGACTTCAACCCCACAGTTCTCTAAACAAATAAAAAAAGGGGCAGCCTCCTACTGCCATCCATGGCTCTGCATAGCAATCCAGCTTCTTGATGTTGGGAGACCAACCTCTGGGTGCCAATCTTACAGGCGCAAACAACACTGACGATAGCCGTACAAAGGGCGCTTACGGTTCAACGCCGACGTCGTTTCGATCATAGTACCTGCCTTGCAATGCTCCTCCCCTGCTGATGTTGGTGCTGGTGCTGCCGCTGCAATAACTGCAACAACCGTTATGCGGCTACTCCATCCAGCTCACACAAGCAAGTTGCACATTACGAAAGCTTCTTCATCTCTTGAACTCTGTTCCTGCTACAGCTTTACAAAATCTGCTCCTGTTGCTCGTGCTGATGGCACAAGCGCGAGCAACAAGACCGTGCGACAAGCACAGGTGATGGCGATGCTAACAGGAGTAGACACTACGTCACCATCTTTTCATACTGTCCACACATGAGACTCAGAATGACTAGGCACATGCTCCTCAAGTTCAAGAAGCCATAGTTAGACACATGGGTTCAGCGAAGAATGGACCGAGGAACTGGGGATTACACAGAGCTGCCTCCTCTGAACACTAAGCTACAAGTAGGACCACTTGAGACTTAAGTGCCTAAGTAACTATTTGTTGAAGCCTCTAGAGTCCTTGATAGTTAGACTCTTAGACTTGGCCTATTAAGGTGTAGTGGGAAGAGGGATTGTCCTTAAGCCAAAGCCCAAGACCCAAAGCTTGGGTGGTGGGGGGATGGCTCCTTCAGCTGTTCAACAGAACGGGGCGTGCAAACCCTGTTTCATGGGCCAATACCCTTTGGCACGAGTCTTGTAAAAGCCCTCATATACCGTAAAAAAACCCATGAACCGCTGTAAACCCCTTGCAAACCCGTCTCTAAATCACACTAAACGCCTGTTCAGCCAAGGAGCCAGGTTTGCAAACTGCAACACAGGCCTGCTGCAGGTAGAGGCTTTCAGCACTCACTGCTAGGACAGGTAGGGGCTTTGGGTCTTCCGGTATCAACGGCTTTGGCTTTGGAGTATCATACAGGGATCTGCATAAATAACACGCTAAACAGCCGGATCCTCCTTTTCAGGACCCTTAACCAAGGTAAGGTATCCACAGTTTCAGGAAACAGCATTTGGACACTTCCCTGCGATGTGAGGACGCACAGCAAAGTCCCACAAAATCACGCGGCGGGCCAACTGGCATCGCCTCAAGGGTAGATTTTTCGCCTAGAAATTAGGACTTGGGGTTGAGAATGGTCTTCTCGAAGACGCACCGTTACCCTAGGAAGTTCGTCAAAGCCTTGCCTCCAAAGACCATGACCATAATGACTTGGGAAAGATCTCCGGATCTTTCGAGCTATCTTGAGCCCTAGGGTAGGGTATGAATTTACGAAGAAGGTATCGTTTGGGTCTTTTGGTGTCGTTCTCAACCCCTGAACCCAAACCCCCACAGCAAGATTCGGGCCTTGCCGGAATCCACTTTCTGGCCCATGCGGATGCCACGGCAGCCGTTACCAGCAGCTTGCCTGAGGGCTTGGGGTTTGGGACAGTTTAGGGCCAGGTCCTTGTAGCATGCTCGTGTTTGGACCGTCAGAGGATCTCATCTCAAATTCCTCAGACCCCGGGCTTCTTCTTCAGACATGAAATGAGAAGCACTGCTTGCCTATAAGCCCATTGCTTCGAATCCCGAGTTTCGGGTCTTCAGGGTGCGGGAGCCTGCATCGAAGTTCTAAGCCATCTGCCTTGAACTTTGCAGCCAGGTCACTAACAAGAGCCCAGTCATGCCGGGTTAAGGCTCTGAGGTCTTCCAGTCTTTGGATTTCATGGGCTCGGGTCTTTCGGAGGGACCGCAAACTGGAAGCGGAAAGGGTCCTAAGTAGGGCCCGAAACAGTACACTATAAGCAAAAGCTCGGATAGGGATAGCCCATATAAACCCCCTCATAATGAAGCCCCATAAGGTAGGGATATGCCTGCAACATGCTTATGCTTGCGTCCTTGCTGGGTCCCTCACTAAGAAACTTCCTTTCCTGTATTTACCCGAGCCCACAGCCCGATAAATATAAGCGCCTCAGTAGTTGGAACATGGCGGGGCATGCGAGAACATAGCATTACCACAAGTAAATCACACTAACTACCGAATCCTGGCAACTAAACTAAACCGTAAGCCTAAACTTCTAGTTTGATCTTGGATCGTCACCCTTAACCCGGAATCCTGAATCCCTTACCGACATATGTTGAAGCCCAGCTGCTCGATCTCCGGAATTGCGCAAGGGTTCGGAACACAGGTGAACGTCGCCTCCAGAAGATTTCGTCGTGTCAGGTTTTCTTACACATCGACCGAAACTTTAGGACTCCAGGCTTCGGGGTATGTTGAATAACTTCAGGGGGATATCTGGGGTTTATTTATAGAGACCCATAAAGACAGTTTGGACGAAACACCCGCAGATCCCTGCCTGCCTGGGGTTATGGTCTTGTTGGGGAGTCACTGGAAACTTGAACTACGACGAATACAGTAGTTAGTATTTATCGGTCTTTTGGGGCACGTAGGGACCTGGACCTGATCGCAATGTTGCACCGGAGGAGAGGGTGACGTCGCCATGAGTTCACAAGAATAAGACAGTACCGTGAAACCTAAAAGCGAAGATTGAGGGCAGCCTTCAGGATTTCGGATTTCGTCGCTGTCACAGTAGCAGGCTGCGGGCTTCTGACACTCCGGGGCGAGGCTGGCGAGTTTTGAAAAGTTCAGTAAGACATGAGATGCACTCGCTGTCATATAGGGTACAGGAAAGTGCCCAACGGATGCTGCATCTTGCGGTGTATGACCAGGTCCGGAGGAGGGTTCACAGGTTGGGATTGCTGTTTAGCCTTTCAGGGAAACTATTGACACTTAGACCATCTTGAACTGCAAGCGAAGCTGCTGGTGTGAACGTTGCCGCAGTGCACGATAGGGTTGCCACTGAGGGCGTGTAGCCAGCCTCGATTTAGGGCTTCAGATTCAAATCTAAACTACAAACCCTGAACCCTAAATGTGCGGTTTTTCGGGCTTGAAGGCCCGATCACAGCAAGGAGGGTTGGCAAGCACAGGGATACTAGGGCTTTATGCGCAGCAGTGGAAAATATGAGACCCTACACCTTACACCTTGCAACCTGAACCCTAAAGCCTAACCCTAAAGCCTTGGCCTGAAACCCAGAGCCGAAACCTTAAAGCCCAAACCGTTTGCTTTGCCAGTCCTCCGATTCTACGCTCACAGACTCATCTTCAGTAGACTGGTTTCGGGTATGTTCTAATGGGGAAACAGAGGGACTCATCACTAACACCTTTATCTGCACCCTAAAGGCATCTAGCTTTACGATGGGCTTGACGTTGAGGCTCTGGCATTGAAGTGCAATGCGGGCATCAGGCAAACGCTGCCGTTCCAGATCGTTTCTAAACCCCTTCATATAGGGGCCTTAATGATTAGAATAGGGTTTTGGGTCCCACTATACTATAATTATAACAAGGAACCCACCAAAATAATATAGGCAATTATTATTAATTAGGCCCCTACAACAAACCCTAAGCCCGTGCTTTGCGGACAAGCTCAGACTTCTGAAAGCCCCAAAGCCGATCCCGAGACTCAATCGGGTCCAGGGCTTCACTACAGGGTTTGGAGCTTCCCTTGGGGGGTTTAGGGTTCAGGGCTGTCAGATAAATACAACGAAGAACAAATCATTCTGCGCTCCCACCCCCAGTAGGGAACCTGAAGCAAAGGCCCGTCTCAGCTCACATGCCAAGAAGCCAAGCACTGCGTCGTGCAAGCAGACCTCGTTGGCAACACAACACTTGAGCTTTTGGTATGCAACCCTCGGCAGGCGGGGCAACGTAGAAACTGCAAAAAGAAAGAATTAGGGTCAACGCATGTTGCACGGCAGCCACACGGCTGTTGGACAAAACCCTGCTTCATCCATCAAATAGATACCACAAAGCACATAGTTCAGGGTACCTTAATTAATGAGAATAAGGTTTTGGGAACATGGTAGTATGATCATAATCAAGAACGGCTTGAACGTAGCACTGCCAATGATTGCGGCCCAATATTGCCCTGAACAGGGGTCCGAACAATGCGGATCCTACTCTATTCACGGTCCCTACCTAAAGCCCCTTTTTGAATATCTGTCCCAACACGCATCTGCTGCGTATTCCTTCGAAGCCGTGTATCCTCGGCCCTACGAGCCTGCAAGACATGCACAATAGGCTTGGTACTCGGTTTAGGGTTTAGGGTATAGGGTTTAGGGTTTAGGGTTTAGGGTTTAGGGTGAGTGCACATTGGGGCTTCTGTGCAACACTTGGACTAAGCTGGGGTGCCCTTAACTTATCTTATGCCGCGTCCCGGAGACCTATCCTGAGCCGATCCCGCCACCGCTCTACGCCATGCATCGAAGCGAGGGAGTTAGGAGTGATCTACAAAACGGACAGCCCTAGATGCTCAAACCATGCAATCTAACACCCTATAACCCTAAACTCCTAACATTTGCCTATAGAACCCTAGAACCCTAAACCCTGATGGTGTTACACATCTGCATAAACAGACTTAGCAAGCCTCCATCCTCAGACCCCTTCATGTAGACGCCTGATCAATACATTCTGTCTGGATCAAGGCGTGCCCAAAACCTGATTACTACCACGGCCTTGCTGCAAATAACCAGCGCAACCTTTCGACTGCCACTCCGAACTGAAACCTGCACTATACAATCTATGCCAAGCCAAAGGACCAGCCTACATCCTAAACCCAGCATTGACGATGAGAGCCCCTCAGCGCAAACACCGTCATCTTTAAGATCCCAGAGCTATTCGTTGCTGCCGCGGCGCCCTGATGTAATCAGCGGCCCCTCTTGACAGGGACCCTTGCGATGGGCGAACTCCACCTGCCGCACACCATGAGTCCCACATCCTAGCTCCTCAACCAACCTCAAGGGGATGGTTCAAACTTAGGAAGAGGGTTGACAGCGGGGCTCTTGGATGCGGAGTCTTTCGGGTTGGGGCCGCAAGCGTGTAGGGCACCAGGGCTTTCGAATTGAGCAGTTTCATCCTTTTCCGTGCAGTCTTTCTGGCTCCGGGCATGTTTTGCCACGGATAGGATTTCGAACTTCTCGCATTACAGAAATTCTGGCTGCAGTGCTTTCAGGATTCAGGGCTGAGGGATTTGGGAATACGGAGTTCAGAATTCCGGGGATGAGGGTTTCAGGGCCAAGCCAAGAACTGAACAAGTTCGGCTTTAAAACGCGAAGTTGACTTCTACAGATGCCTTGAAACAATCAGTATCAATCACAAAAAAGGGATGATATGGGATTGGTACTACTACAGCTCCTCAAGCCTCCATGTCACCCAACTTTATTCAGTCCAGTCGCTCCCGTCGGTGCCGGGCAAGGATCCGGATTGCAAACGACCTTCCCGGGACACCCACTGCCCGTCAAAAACTTCTTCGCTGAAGCAGACTTGGCCATGAAGTTTTGCCAGTACCTATAGTCTCCAGTGTAGTTCCTTTTGGTTTCACCAATAATATATTAATGATTCTATAAGGTATCCCCAAAAAGGAACTACAATGGAGACTATAGGTATATAAAACTATAGCCGCTCAACATCATTGGCACAAGAAACGTGGACCGAAACCCTTCGGCCTAAGCAAAAGGTCTCTGTTCAACAGCCTGGCCCCGAAAAGTTCAATGGTTCTACTGCACATACGTACATACATACATAGATACATACATACATACATACATACATACATACATACAGACAAACAAATACATTTGTATAGTTGTATATAAAAAATTAGATACCTACTACATGTGTATATATATAGTCAGAGCAGCAGTGCTGGAAAGTCCAACTTCAGCTTTCCAGTCCAAGGCACAGTGGCCGGCGAGAACACTGCATTGCGGCAGCTCCTTATGGCATGGGGTCT